TAGTGCTCAAGGTCTGACCAGGACACTCAGCCAATTTGTGAGGGTTCTTGGCTCATTAGCAGAAAATAAGGAACAGGAATCTACTATTTACCATGGGGGAGTCACCAGTGTGAGGGGCTTGCATAAATGCAAATATATAAAAGAGCGTACTATTTTATGTATGGTATTGAATTTGATATATGTATTTGTGAATAAATTGGACTTTCCTATAGTACTCCAGATTTTTCTAGAGCTCTGTAAGATTATCTATGGAAACTGATGCAATTGTTAGGAGTTCCTAGAGATTTAGGGTACAGTTAGTTCTGGAAAATAGGACAAACCTATATAAATACGGGCAGACAGGGATTTCCACAAGACTAGGCTAGTGTAACCAGGTCGGGTTGCAGTACTTACTTTTCCCCGACTTGTTCCTTACTCCAGCATTATTTCATACCAAACTTTTGTAACTTCGTGTTTGTGTAGATTTACATGTGAGCAGCCATTGCGATCATGCTTTGTCTAGCGCCCTCTCGCGGCCAACTAAACTTTTTTTAATGCGATGGGCGTAGCGAGCGTGCAAGTTTTGCATTCCACCGCGCTTTGTTTAAGAGGAATAGTTGACATTCCGGGCGTTTCGGTATATTTTTCTTGTAGGGCCTGCTGCGGAATATTGTTGATTTCGATCCAACATCTTGTTGCGAGCAGACCATCTATTACGAGCGCTTACACTCTCCACTTTTATTGAAATTTTGAGAGAGGCTCCCTATACTGCAGTAGAATAGTTTCATCTATTTTTTGCTGCTTCTACTTCGATTTTCACATCGGACACGGAGTAGGCATGAACGTAGATCTTCCAAGTGATTAATATCCTTGGAGCTACTTCATTAGCCATTTCCCTTTTGACTGTCGTTTTTATATACCCAACCAAGTTTCTAATATAATTCTTGTGTAAATATCTAATAATTTGTATATATTGTCTCTATTTGTATTATAAATAAAACCATTTCATATTTGTGAGACTACAGAAAGTTCGCTTCCCAAATCATTTTTTAGTGGAACCACTCGGACATAAGGAGAGTGCCCCATTTTAAAAAACTAAATTCCACTCTCCCCGGTTACACTAGTATCAAGACGGGATCCGCTCAAAGTCCAATGCTCATTGGTCCAACGCCTCGTAAGTCTGACAAAATCGCATCCCCCAACCAAATAAAGACCCATAAGTCTGACGCCTCATATGTCCGACGCCTCATAGCTCTGATGCCTTATAGCTCTGACGCCTTAATTGTAGGTCCGGCAATTACATTTACTTTATTTCTGTCCATAAGTCTGACGCCTCATAAGTCCAATGCCTCTTAAGTCCGACAGCCTGAATTCAAACATTGCGTAAAATGTCAGAATGTCAGTGCCTCTAATTGTTAGATTTAGTGATTACACCTCCCCCCCCCCTGGATTTACCATGACGCCCGTAGCATTAACCCTTGCACCAACAAATGTGCGCTGGCAGACTGATCTGTGGCGAGTTAATTCATGCTACGCACAGTGCGCCATTCGTAAGCAGACAACCTTGCAAACTTAACATGTTGTAACAATTTTTCAAAATCTCGTTCTTGCCTTGTCGGACAAGTGAACCTTTTCTGGTAACGGTCCATAGCTCTCACACTTTTCAAAGTGAACTGTCGCGCTACCAGATAAGCATCGCTGGCCTCACCGAAGCTCGCATCCCAGGAAGCGGTGAACGTCTCAGAAATCGTAGGCAGAAACCATCAGAGAGTCTCATCGAGCTCACGGATGAGACCAGGCAACTTGTGGAGAAAGCATATTACGACTTGCCAGCTAATAGTCGGGATCAGATGGGCCGGGACCACTTTTTGGATGCTCTGTCTGATGGAGAAATAAGGACAAGGGTGATTCAGATGCAGACCAACACGCTTGACGAGGCAGTAGCCGCAGCTGTGGAGTTAGAGGCCTTATATTAAGTGGAAAAAGAGCGTTGCACTTCTGAAATAAATTAATAAATGATGTAGCCCTCGTCAGTTTTGGGTAAAAAGTGTTCTGGTTGACAGGTCCGAGATCACAGCATGGACAGCAGATGCAGGGAGGCACATAAATGTACTGGCAGGAATAAACTGTTGTAGAGTATTGTGTGTGGACGCAGTAATAAATTTAGAGGTGTACACAGTTGCAGCATGGTTGCAGTAGACGATTGGTTGTTACAGGGAAACAGTGTTGGTGTCAGACAATGTGTGGTATGACAGTGGCAGGGGCACTGTATGCAGATAGTGGGCAATGGACAACAGCTGGTTGACCATAACATAAAACTGAGCTGAATGAAGCTCTGGACTGAATGGTTTGCATGGTGTAACAATGATGCAGTACTTGGACTAGGCTGAGTTGTGACGAGTGGTATGTGACACGAAATTGTCTCATGATTGTCAAGGGAGGGGAATTGTGTTGTCTCTCACAGAACGCGGAGGGGCAGCAAAATGACGGAATTGGCAGTTTTGATTCCTCAGTGGGCATGGTCGTCACGTTGGGAAAGCCTGGATGAATATGTTGTTGTGTGGGTAAATCGAACCCACCAATTCTACATGGTATGCCGTCGAAAGTTGGTACAAGTGGTAATGTGTCACCCCTAGAAGTTGGACAGCAGCAGTTTTAGCCTTCGCGGGAAGATGCCACTCGGCAACTGCACAACCCCCTGATCAATGACGAGGATTGTTTGCTGTCAGTTTTTACCCAATGGAAACGTCTGGCAGTGTTTGCAGAACAGCTGTATAGAGCTTTGTTAAAATGCAAGAAGCATCGTTAAAGAGTCATAAAGATGACTGCAGCCGGAGCTCAAAATGTAATCTTTAAAGGAGCTGCGGGTTTTACTTTTGTTGGAAGTAATTAGTCAAAGTTTGTTGGTTTCATTTGATATTGGAATCTGCCGGGAGCTGTTTGAAGGAGTGGACGAAGATTTTGTCTTGATTGTCTCAGATAAGAGGCAAGAATGGTGACAACGATGTTTTATTCCATGGTCTTCAGTTTCGACCTTGGGCCGCCTAGGAGATGCTCGTAGTGATGTCCACTCTTCGACCCCCAACCCCCCCTCCCCCCACAATGGCCTGTTACTGAAAAGCCTTAACAGTAGTTAACTGTTGGTCTGGCCTGTGTGAGCTAGTCAAAGGAGAAGGCATGGTTTTCGGTGGCGGAGAGACGACGAGGACAATGTGTTGATCAAAAACAAGGGATTCTCTGACTGGATGGTGATGGATGAGTCGTTAAGAAAAGCTCAAAGGATTCAAGATCGGTCGCGTAGGGGACTAACGTTCACGTTTGATTGTGTAGTTAGTTGGTCATGTTTGTTAAAGTTTTAAATTTGATGACCAATTTGTAAACTGAATTTAGGCAAAGTTATTGTTTTATCTTAAGAACACAACCAATGTATTTAGATGCTTGAAAAGTTCGTGTATGAAGACTTGTAAATGTGTTATATAAGTCATACGATTTGTGTTTTATACAAAAATTTTTGAAGCTGTCAAGGTTTGAATAAGTTTGAAAGAAACTGCGTATATATATAAGTTAAGTTTTGTTTCAAGAACAAGTGTATATACTGCAGTTAGTCCGAGAGCCCAGTGAGGTTTAATTAGAATATCGCGCACAAAAGGTTTGATGGTGGCAGCGGGTAGGTGGGGGAGCCCAACCTTCAAAACCGTCATTCTTAAGTGTCACACCCCGTGCGTTTGGGAGGGGGCATCGCCTTAAGACCCCCCAAAATTGACTTTTAATTAGAATATCGCGCACAAGCACGGTTCCAACGCGAAAAGGTAGCATTCGATTAACTTATCAGCGACCAATAACTTAAGAACGAGAAATCCTGTGCATTCCATGCATAAGAATGGCTTAATTAGCGCTAATTATTGACCGTTAATTAGAATTTTGAGCACAAGAGCGAAACCTTCACTAAAAGCTCATTAACGTGACCATAATGCAAGATTCACAACTTAAGAATGAATATTCCCGTGCATTTTGTGCTTAAGAACGAGTTAAAGTTCAATAATTGGCCACACGTTAAGGAACTAATTTTGTATGTGTTTAATAAGAATGTTGAGCACAACGATCATTCCAACACCAAACGGTAGTGTATGAGTCAGGGCTTGCAGAATTTCAACTTAAGAATACAAAATCTCGTGCAAAATTTACTTAAGAGCGGCTTTATTCACCATTCAGTTGTTGTGTTTGCCGGCGGTCGGGGACCTCCTGTTGTCCTTCTTTTGTTTGTGCTTAGACATTTTGGGAAAGTCTCCCGTGTGTTTTGTACACGTCGCCAGGATGGGGCCTTCGGGGTTGGGGACCCTGTTGTCCTCTGTTGTCCTCTGTTGTTTTGGGTTTTTTTCAGATTTCTTTGTTGAATGCAGGAACAAACTCACACATACAAAACAATAATAATAGTAAAAAAATCAACTTTTAAAAAAATGTTTTATGTCCGTCATCTCAGTATGTATGTTTTTTTGTGTGAATAACTATATAATTTTATTAAGGCTAATTATTGTTGTCAATATTTTAACAGTTGGTTTTACTAAATGGTTTTAATTTAAAATATACACTGTAAATTCGCATGCAATTTAGCCTTTGGGCCACGATTTGTGAATAAATAAACCGATCTATCTATCTATCTATGTTACGCTATGTGATGGAGTGAGCCATTGTTATCGACGGATCTCATCAGTGACGGTGACTTCGCTGGTGACTGATGAGGCCAATAGCTGATGCACAAGGCCGGCCACAGATGTTGCAAACATGGGCGGCATTTGGAGAAGTCTCTGGTCTTTGCTTCCTTTGCAGTCATTTGGTTCTTGCAGACTGTATGCGCTGTTCCTCAAAGGATTCTGCTGCCGACTTGCAGGTCGAACGCCATTGGGTACGGTTTGCCGCTGTGATCTCCCATGTTGCACAGTTGATGTTACTGGCTTTGAAATTAGCCTTAAGCACATCTTTGAAGCGTTTATGTTGGCCTCCACATGAACGTGCTCCTTCTTTCAGTTGGCCATGGAAGAGAGCTTTTGGGATTCTGGAATTGTCCATCCTCTGAAGATGACCAACCAGCGGAAGCGTGCAGTCATGATCAGAGCCTCAATTCCAGTGGTGTTACATCGTTTGAGGACGTCAGTGTTGGGGACTTTGTCTTGCCACTTGATATTGGCAATTCTCCGAAGATAGTGCATGTGGAACTGGTCTAGTTGGTTGATATGGCGGCGGTAGGGAGTCCAGCTTTCACACCCATACAGCAAGGTGGTTAACACAACTGCACGGTCGACTGCTATTTCGGTAGATAGCCGCACACCATGATCACTCCAAAGCCTCCCTTGCATATTTCCAAAAGCTGCACTAGCTTTAGCAATGCGGGCATTGACTTCATCATTAATCATGGCATTTTGGAAGACAACACTACCAAGATAGCAGAAGCTGTCTACTGCTTTTAGGGGGCTGCCATCTACTGTGACAGACGGCTGCACATAAAGTGCGCCTGGCTTCGGCTGAAGCAAGACCTCGGTTTTCTTCAAGCTGATGGTAAGCCCAAAGCGTTGAGATGCCACAGCAACACGATCTGTTATGTGCTGGATGTCTTCAAGGCTATGGGCAGCAAGGGCACAGTCGTCAGCGAACAGGAAGTTGCTTAGGGTGGATTCTGTGACCTTCGTCCGTGCTTGGAGTCGCCGAAGGTTGAAAATGCCACCATCACATCGGGATACGATGGTGACACCACGGTCACAGCCAGCAAATGCCACATGTAGCATGGCAGCAAAGACAATCCCAAACAGGACTGGTGCCAGTACACAGCCCTGCTCTGTACCATTGGTGACAGCAAAGGGGGACAATCCCTCTCCTCCGTCGAGAACGTGGGTCATCATTCCTTCATGAAAAGAGCAGATTATGTTGAAGAATTTTGTTGTGCAGCCAACCTTACCAAGAATTTTCCAGAGGCCCTCACAGTTGATGGAATCAAAGGCCTTAATTAGGTCCGCAGAGACAAGGTAGAGGTCTCGGTTTTGTTCCCTGCACTTTTCCTGAAGTTGACGTACCGAGAATATCATGTCCACTGTGCCACTTCCTGCCCGGAAGCCACATTGACTTTCAGGAAGAATGTGCTGTTGAGTGACGTGATGGTTCAGTCGATTCAGTAGCACACGGGCCTGGATTTTTTCAGCTACCGACAGCAAGGAAATGCCTCGGTGGTTGTCGCAGCATGCACAGTCTCCTTTCCTCTTGTAGAGGTGTACAAATGTTGCATCCCTAAAGTCTTGTGGCACCGTCTCTTGTTCCCAGATGGCACCAAAGAGATATTCCAGGTGTTGAGTGAGATGGTGGCCTCCCTGTTTGAAAATCTCAGCTGTGATGCCCTCTGCTCCTGGAGCCTTACCACAAGACATTTGCCAGACAGCTTTGTCTATTCCATTTGACCTTGGAGCATCTGACAGTTCCTCCTGAATTGGGATTTGTGGAAGTGCACCTATTGCAGTGCTGTCTATGTTTGATTGGTGACAGAGAACTGAGTTGAAGTGAGATGCCCAACGCTCGAGAATAGCAGCTTTATCAGTGAGCAAGGTGGTGTTATCCTTTGAGCGGATAGGTGTCATCCCGCTTGCTTTGCATGGACCGCAGACAGCTTTTAGGCCACTAAAGAAGCTTTTCATCTCTTTGCGGCCAGCGGCTGCTTGGAGGTCTTGAGATGTTCGAGACCACCAGCTCTCCTTCATCTGCCTCATCTTTTTTTGTGCAGCTTTTCTTTGCATGTTGATATGCAAATCTTTTGGAAGATGATTTCTTATTGTTGATCCATGAGAGGTGTGTTGAATGCATTTCGTCAAGTAGTAATTTAGCTCTTCCATCATTTTTGTCAAACCAGTCCTGGTTTTTATGCTTTACGAACCCCAGAACAGATGATGCACAGCTGTGGGTGACGTCTCTCAGATTCTGCCATATATTATCTGCACTCTCTGCAGCTGGAGCCTGTTGAACGAGACTGGTGTCAAGACAAGCTTGGAATTGAGCTTTTACCCCTGCATCTTTGAGTTTGCCCACATCAAGCTACTTCACAGGCTTGCTGCGATGTCTGAGTTGTCGCAGCCCGATGACAAGTGAGAAAGAACTTCTAACAAGGTGATGATCAGACCAAGACTCTTTGCCCTTTACTGAACGAATCAACATGATGGTATCGCTACCGGCTGATCATTTAATCAATAAGTTGCCAGTGACCTGACCATGGGTGCATCCATGTTGTCTTGCGCTTGTTAGGCTGCTGGAAAGTTGTATTGGTGATTACGAGCTTGTGTTGAGAACAAAGATCAAGTATCTGCAAGGTCTGGTGAGGGCGTGTGCCAAAACCACACAGAGGCCCTAGCGGAATACACAGCCTCTCCCAGACAAGCAAACCCCGCCTTCTCGTGGTACAGACTGACTAGCTGAAGGGACTCTGGCTTTGGGCAAGCCGACCGACACACTATTAAAGGCAACAAATGGGTCACCCTGCTGCCTTGTGGGATAGGCTATTTAGTAAAAGGCTAAGGGAGGGGTCCCCGACAGAAACACTGAAGTCCATGATGGCGCATCCTGGGATTGGCATTGCAGCACAGCTTTGTAGCAGCTGCGGCCATTGTGGTCAAGAGGGCAATTCGTCATGCTTCATTGCAATGACTTTTGGCCAACTACTGCACCCATACTCGTTGTTCACACGTTTTGGGTTGCTTACCTGTGGACGACTGGCTGGTAATGGAAAAAGAGAGTGAATATGACCCTGCTCAAGTCATATTCCTATAATACAACCCGAGTGCAGGTATATTGTGTGACATTTAGACTTGCTGTCCCAGTTAAAGTCTTCCGGAGACAGGAGAGTGGCGATGGGGACAGGTGAAGGATATTGTATAGAAGGATAGAGTATTGTGTGTGGACGCAGTAATAAATTTAGAGGTGTACACAGTTGCAGCATGGTTGCAGTTGACGATTGGTTGTTACAGGGAAACAGTGTTGATGTCATACAACGTGTAGTATGACAATGGCGTGGGCACTGTATGCAGAAAGTGGGCAACGGACAACAGCTGGTTGACCGTAAAATAAATTGAGCTGAATGAAGCTCTGGACTGAATGCTTTGCATGGTGTAACAAGGATGTGGTACTGGGACTAGGCTGAGTTGTGACAAGTGGTATGTGACACGAAAATTGTCTCATGATTGTCAAGGGAGGGGAATTGTGTTGTCTCTATGAACGCGGAGGGGCAGCAAAACGACGGAATTGGCTGTCGGGACTGTATGGAAGCAGTTTTGATTCCTCATTGGGCATGCTCATCACGTTTTGGAAAGCCTGGATAACGGTTATGTAGTTGTGTGCATGGGTAAATCGAACCCACCAATCCTACATGGTATGCGGCCGTCGAGAATTGGTACAAGCGGTAATGTGTCACCCTTTAGAAGTTAGACAGCAGCAGTTTTAGTCTTTGGCGGAAGATGCCACTCGGTCCTGCACAACCCCCCAATCAATGATTGTTTGCTGTCAGTTTTTACTCATTGGAAACGTCAGGCAGTGTTTGCGGAAAAGCTATATAGCTTTGTTAAAATGCAAGAAGCATTGTTATAAAGTCATAAGAATTAGTCTATGTTTGTTGTTTCTATTTGATATTGGAAACTGCCGGGAGCTGTTTTGAAGGAGCGGACAAAGATTTCGTCTTTATTGTCTCAGATAAGACGCAACAACGGTGACAACGATGTTTTATTCCATGGTCTTCAGTTTCGACCTTTGGCCGTCTATATGCTCGTAGTGATGTCCACTTTAGACCCCCCCCCCCACGTCGTCCTGGTCACTGGAAAGCCTTAACAGTAGTTAACTGTTGGTCTAACCTGTGTGAGCTAGTCGAAGGAGAAGGCATGGATTACGGCGGCGGAGAGACGATGAGGACAACGTGTTGATGAGCATACAAAAACAAGGGATTCTCTGACTGGATGGTGATGGATGAGTCGTCAAGAAAAGCTCCAAGGATTCAAGATCGGTCGCGTAGGAGACTAACGTTCGCGTTTGATCGTGTAGTTAGGTTAACTAAAGTTGGTCATGTTTGTTAAAGTTTTAAATTTGATGACTAATAAGTGAACTGAATTTTGGCAAAGTTATTGTTTTATCTTAAGGATGCATCCGGTGTATTTAGATGCTTGAAAAGTTCGTGTACGAAGACTTGTTAATAATGTTATATATAAGTCATACGATTTGTGTTTTTTAAGTGTTAAAAAAATCTTCTTTTTTTTAAACTGTTAAGGTTTGAATAAGTTTGAAAGAAACTGCGTTATCAAATTTGTTAAGTTTTGTTTCAAGAACAAGTGTTATACTGCAATTGTTACTGTTTGTTTCTCAAAGAATTAAGTTAAATTGACGATGTGAGGACACATCCTTCTTAAAGGAGGGGGTTGTGTAGTGGCGCACAGCCGCATGGTGGGTGAAGCCACTTGCAGCGCGCGCGCTATCTCAGTACCTGGGGATCCAGGCATGACAGTGCACGCGCGCGTATCATAGTCGTACGATGGGCCAAAATAAAGCAGAAATTGCGTTCGCGCTCTTTTAGGCAGTTCTGATCTGAAGCTGGTTGAAGAAAGACGTACGAAAACACCACAGAAACAACCCTTCTTAGATAAAACGATTATATAATGTGAGTGCTTAATTTAGCGGAACATGGAAGAGAATAGAAGAGACAGAAAGAGAGAAGTTCATCCTTGTGTCCGTGTCACATTTATTTTATTCGTTGTATCGTGCTGTTTGTCTTGTTTCTACTTATGTTAATTTTAGCCTAATCGTCCTAAAGAAAAAAGCCCTTAGACCGCGAGGACTTGTTACAATATCATTGGCAGTCCTTAGCCTCAAACCTGTGGAGTACTGTGGCCTCGTGGTTAAGGGCACTGATTCGTGGTCTGTGGGTAAAGCTGCAGGTTTTGGGTTCGAGTCCTGGCGGGGTCATGGTACGTGTGCCCTTGGGCAAGGCACTTAGTCACTCATTGCTTCTCTCCACCCAGGAGTAAATGGGTACCTGTGAGGGCAGAGATGGTTATTGTGATTGAATTAGCTTCCTTGCGCCTAACAGGCTGCATCGAGCTGTATACTCCCCAGGGAGCTGAGATGGTATTTGGAATGTTTCATGTGCCCAATGAGCAGGGGTAATAATGATGTAGCGCCTTGAGCACCAGTCCTGGTGGATACGTGCGCTTTATAAATATCCACTATTATTATTATTATTAAACCTGCACGGAGGTGGCCTGGGTGTGATGGCCGTTTGTCGCTGACCGGAGCAACATCGACGTCCGTGTCCTGCCTGGGTGACAGAGCAGGCCTCTTTAGGATTAGCACTGCTCTCTCCAAATAGAGAGGGGGGAGAGAAAAGGATCCCTAAACATCGCTTGCTCCTACCTACCCTGCCGGCATACCGCGGTCGGATGGGTATCCACTTCTGCGGTTGAAATAGACAAAACAGAATTAAAGTTAACTTGACATTTGCTTCATGGAATGTTCACACGCTTCTTTATCACAGCTCAAGACATGAGCTCCGAACAGCCATTATCGCCAGGGAACTGGCTCGTCACAAGATCGACATTGCACTCCTCAGTGAGACCCGACTAGCTGGTGAATCTCAACTTGAGGAAGTTGGGGCAGGGTATACTTTCTTCTGGATTGGACAAACAGAACAACAACACAGACAAGTGGGGCTTGCCTTGCAATAAGATCCTTGCTTGTGCCAAAACTTACATCTCAGCCCAAGGATATCAATGCCAGACTCATGACAGTACGTCTTGACCTGGTTAACAACCAGTATGTCACACTCACCAGTGCGTATGCACCAACCTTGCCTTCTTTAGACAAGACCAAGGAACTCTTCTATGACGATCTCAACAACATCATCAAGTTGACCCCTTAGAATGACAAAATCGTCCTCATGGGGGACTTCAATGCCCGTGTTGGAAGGGATTTTGGTGCTTGGAAACGGGTAAATTGGTCGTCATGGTGGGGATAAAGAGAATGCCAATGGTAGTCTCTTACGCTATGTAGGCCATAGATGGTTCCAGTCCCCCATCATAACAGGAAGCAGGAACCAGTCTACCTTTGCTGCAAAGCAATTCCGTATGGGGCTGAAAACTGTGATCGGCAATTTTGTTTGCGTATCGGGCAGCAATTGGCAGCATATCAGGCCACTTTAGACTGTCACTCCCGTATCGGCCTTTATAGCCACAGCAGGTGATGTTCCAGCACAAGCTGATGATGTAGTCTCTACCTTCCAGGCGCAGATCCATGATCTCACGAGATCGAAGGATGCCGATGACGACGACAGATCCTTATCATTTAATTGGTGGAACTCACATCACGTGACATTCATTATTGTCCTATTCACGCAGGGGCTCCAAAAAAACCCATTTGCCCATGGTGAAGGGGATTTACTTTTCAACAGTAAGGATCGTCCTTGTTCCATGATGTGGTACTTGTGTGTGAAAGGATTCAAGAACGTGTCACTCGTTTCATCCTCTGTCAAAAACGAGGAGTTATAACTTATGTAGACAGATTTGCTACCCTGAATTGGTCCTCCTTATCTCTCCATCGTAATTTTGCTGTGCTTTCTTTTGTTTCTAATAGGCCGTTGCACGTGCCCCTGAAAGTGCCTCAGAAAAACATTTTTGTGGCATATTGCTGAGAAAGAACTAAGCAAACTTTGATTATTATGGTTTTTAGGGTGGAGAATCCGAAT